GAGGAGGGAGGACGGAGGAGGGAGGAGGGAGGAGGGAAGTCCGGGGCTGCACACCGACACCCGATGTTGCCCGGGATCGCCCTGGGCCAAGGTTCGGTGCATCTGCGCCCGCTTGGCCCAGGCAGGAGGTGTCTATATATATATAATCTAATATATATATATATATATATATTATTATATATAAAACACCGAGATGCAGGTGCCAGGGCCCTCCTAAACCAGTCCCCTCCTCCTCCCTCCTCCTCCTCCCTCTTCCTCCTCCTCCTCCTCTCCTCCTCCTCCTCCTCATCCTCCTCATTGGTTCCTCCTCCTCTTTGTTCCTCCTCCTCCTCCTCCTCCTCCTCCTCCTCCTTCTTCTCCCCCAGTGGATCGCCCCCCCCACCCCCCCCGTGCTCCGCAGCGCCCGAGAGCATGCCGACGGGCGGGCTGGGCGCACTCGACGCTAACGCGGACCCCGCTCGGGGAGGAGGAGTCCCCGCCGGTACCTGGAGGTCGGGAGGTTGCCCAGGCCTCTAAACAGTCTCCTCCCCATCCTCCTCCTCCTCCTCCTCCTCCTCCTCCTCCTCCTCCTCCACCTTCTGCCGCGAGCGAGGGGAGGAAGTGAGAAGGGGAAGGCCTTCTCAGAAGGCGGCGGGACGTCTCCTCGTGCCTGCGGAGAAGTATTCTTTGTTTTCAGGGAAGGCGTGGGAAGCGTCTCAGAAGGCCGGGGGACTCCATCTTTCTGAGAAGGCCCGCCCCCGCTCGCCGCCAGCACCTGGAGAAAAGCCCAGAGATCCGATGTCTGGATTTTTCTCGATGCGGGCCCCCCGGAAGTGCAGACGCTACCCCAGCAGGGCCAGTTCTCCATCAAATTTGGCGGTCCCGGAGTCCAGCGAGGGGCTCCAGAGGCCAAGACATGCGGAAAGCCTCCCCCTCCTCTTCCTCCCTCCTCCTCCTCCTCCTTCTTCCGCCTCCTCCCTCCTCCTCCTCCTCCTCTCCTCCTCCTCCTCCTCCTCCTCATCATCATCATCATCTCGTCGTCGTCGTCATCATCATCATCATCCACATTCATCATCATCATCATCCTCATCATCATCATCATCATCATCATCTCATCATCATCATCATCATCATCATCTCATCATCATCATCATCATCAGCATCCCTCTTCTCCTTCTCCACCTCTCGCTCCCCCTCCTCCTCCTCCTCCTCCTCTCCTCCTCTTCCTCCTCCTTCTTTCTCTCCTCCTCCGTCTCCCCTCCTCCCTCCGCTCCTTCTCCGCCTCTCCCTCCTCCTCTTCCCTCTCCCTCCATCCCCGTCCTACCTCCTCCTCCTCCTCCTCCTCCTCCTCCTCCTCCTCCTCCGTCTCCTCCTCCTCCGTCCTCCTCCCCTCCTCCTCCTCCTCCTCCTCTCTCCTCCTCTCCTCCTCCTCCTCCTCCTCCTCCTCCTCCCTCCCATCGTCCTCCTTTCCTCTCTTCCTCTCCTCCCCTCTTCCTCATCCCCGTCCTACCCTCTCCTCCTCCTCCTCCTCCTTCTCTCTCCTCCTCCTCCTCCTCTCCTCCTCCTACGTCCTTCTTCTTCTCCTCCTTCCTCCTCCTCCTCCCCTCCTCCTCCTCCTCCTTCTACGTCCCGTCTCTCCCCCTCCTCCTCGCCTCCTCCTCCTCCTCCTTCTCATCATCTCATCATCATCATTCATCATCAGCATCATCATCATCATCATCATCATCATCATCATCATCATCATTATCATCATCATCATCATACATCATCATCATCATCATCATCATCATCATAATCATCATCATCATCATCATCATCATCATCATCATCATCATCATCATCATCATCATCATCATCATCATCATCATCATCATCATCATCATCATCATCATCATCATCATCATCCCCCTCTTCCTCCTCCCTCTTCCTCTCCCCTTCCTCCTCCCTCTTCCTCATCCCCGTCCTACCTTCTACTCCTCCTCCTCCTCCTCCTCCTCCTCCTCCTCCTCCTCGTCCGTGCTCTCGTCTCCGTGCGCTGGATCTCTGGGAGAAGGCGAGTGGAGAGAGCGTCCTGACCACGGCCGCAGCCCCAGCTGGCGCGCCGGCGTCCTGGCGTGCCGGTATCCGCGCTCGGATGCCCCCCTCAGAATGATTCTGCGCCGCAGTTTCTGGAGCTCCCTCCTCCCCCTCCTCCTCCCCCTCCGCCTTCTCGGTCGTCCCCTCCTCCTCCTCTTCCTCCTCCTCTCCTCCTCCTCCTCCTCCTCTTCCTCCCCCCCCTCGCCCTCCTCCTCTCCCTTCCCTCCTTCTTCTGCCTCCTCCTCCTCATCCTCCTCCTCCTCCGCCTCCTACCGTCTCCTCTTCCGCCTCCTCCTCCTCCTCCTCATCCCCTCCTCCTCGTCCTCCTCGTCCTCCTCTTCCTCCTCCTCCTCCTCCTCCTCCTTCTCCTCCCCTTCCTCCTCCTCCTCCTCCCCCTCCTCCTCTTCCTCCTCCTCTTCTTCCTCCTCCTCCTCTTTATAATCCTCCCCCTCAGGATGATTCTGCGCCGCAGCTTCTGGAGCTCCAGGGATCCGCCGGGCTCGTCGCCGACGACCTCCGTGGAGGTGTTCGTGCGCCTGTGACCGCAGGGCGCAGCGCTGGAGCTCGGCGTCGTCTTTCGGCGGCGAACGAGGGGGGGAAGCGAGAGGAGGCGGGACTTCTCAGAGGGCTCGGAAGTCCTCTGGCCTGCTGAGAAGTCTTCTAAGCCTTCCCCGCAGACACAGAAAACCTCTCAGAAGGCGCGAGGGCTTCCGAGAAGTCTCGCCGCCTTCTGTCGCACTTCCCCCCCTCGCTCGCCGCCGATTGTCGGAGGCAGGACCCTGGGACCCTGGCGTTTTGCAGGCTGGGCGTTTTCGCTTGGTTTCCGGCCCCGGCGCCCAAGGGCCTGCCAGGCGCGTCCCCGACGACCTCCGTGGAGGTCTCTGTGCGCAGGGGGCGGCGGGGCGCAGCGATGAAGACTGGCGTCGTGCTCGCGCAGGCACTTGCAAGCCGTCTGGTAGGATTGTCTGGATTCTCCAGTACCCCCTCGGCGGGCGGGGCGGAGGGGTCTCCTGGCCCTCAGTCCTTGTCCTCGGCCCTCGACCCGCAACATCTCTCGTGCCCTCTCCCTCCTGCTCGTCTTCCCTGCGCGAGGTTCGAGGATCCGGCAGGTCACTTTGCGGGCCGGACGAAAGGGGAGGATTGGGAAAGGGGGTGTTGCGAAATTTGCGGCATGCAGCTGGTTTCGGCCTCACCGAGGGGCCCATTCCTCGATGCATAGCCGCCTCCGGCGCCGGGAGGCGTCGGGACAATCAGCTACGCGAGCTGATTCTCAAACCCCCCCTCTGCTATCCCCCCCTTTCGCTCGACTCGAACTTTGGACGGCGGGGCGCAGCGCGGCAGCGTGGCGCCGCCTGCGCGGGCGGGAGGCGGCTCCTGCGCCGCGCAGCACTTCCGGGCGCCCGGCCCGCCGGCCCGCCTGCGCACGCGGCGGCCTCCGCTCGGAGGCGTCCTCGCGCAGGCGGCGGCGGGGCGCGGTGCCGGCGTTTTTTTTCTTGGGGTGGGGGGCGCCAGCAGTGGCGAGCTCTCTTCGCCCTCCTCTTCCTTCGGAGAAGGGAAACGCCAGAAACATCCAGTGGGGGCCCGGTGCCAAGAAGCCCCCGGCTCGCCTCCAGGGTGCCCTGGGCCTCTCCAGTTTCGACGGCTTTGCGATGGAAGGCGTGACGTGCCCACAGCAGGAGTCAATGGACGTCCTGGGCTCTCAGGGTTGGGTTTCTTGTGGAAGGTTTCTTGTGGACTGGCCTCCACTGCAAGCTGTAGGCGCTCCGCGCGGATTTCTTGGATCCGTGCTGGGGCCCCCCTGGCGGCGCCTCCAGCGCCGCCCCTGGCGCGCTCCGCGCAGCAGGCAGGGGGGCCTGGCGCGGATCCGAGAAATCCGCGCGGAGCGCCAACAGCTTTATGTTTATGCCGTTTTTGTTTTTCTTCTTCTTCTATTCCTGCCGTCTGGCCACAGCACTCAGTGCAGAAGGCATGCTGAGGGTAACAACTTCCTGGCGCCTGCTCGTTCGCCGCCCAAGTTGGTGCTGCTCGCCCCTCCCGGTTGCTGCCCGAGCGTCTCACTTGGTCGACGCCGGCCGCCTGCGAGGAGGAGGCATCCAGGCGCGAGCCGCTGGTGAAGCGGATCGTTCTGCCTTCTAGTCATCGTGCTGTTCCCGAGAAGGGCCCCCCCCCCCGTCGACTTGATTCTCCAATCGGCTGAGTCGCCGGTATTTTTCTGTCAACTATTGCAACTGCAGGCCGTCATTTAGGATTGTCTGGATATTCGCTCCCCCCACAGTCGGGCGGGTGAAGTGTTCTGACCCTCGTCCTTATCCTCGGCCCTCGGTCCTCAATCTCTCGTCTCCTCTCCCTCATATTCGTCTTCCCTGCTCGAGGTTCGAGGATCTGGCAATTAACTGGTCATCTGGTGTGTTGCCGCTCGTTGCTGCGCCTACGTAGGATCCTCGCAGACAAGTATGCTGCGACTGTAGCACCGATTGTTTTTCGCTGCTGTCAACAGTCTTGACCGCTATATCCGACGCGATTCTAGAAAGACGGCCATTGGCCTGAGCAGTCGAACGCAAATATGAAGTGGTACACGTCGCATGGCATTTTACATGTGTGGCACGAACGTGTATTCGATGAAATGGAGGTCGCGCGTCATGGGGTTATTCGTCTTGTAGCACACGGCGGGGCGCTAAGCAACCAAAACGCAAGCGCGTTGAAATGAAGTGCAAACGCTTGAACATCAACGGTAGCATCCTCAGTTTAGCGTTGCGTTTAGCTGCTTGAAATTGAACGAGAAAAAGTTCCGCGTGTGAGGATGGAGTGGTTTGGGGTAGCTCAGGGAAGGTGTGGTGCCAGAGCGCCAACGACTGTGATCAGTCACATGGCTTTCTGTTGCAAAGTCTTGTTGTGGAATGGCAGATGTTTTCTCACTGCGCATGGCTAATTCAGCTTGATCGTCAAACTTCCGCGTGTGAATCTGGATGGGCGGCGCATGGTGGTGTCAAAGCACCCCAGGCCGTGATCAGAACTTCCAGGTCTCGTGCATTGCATGTCTACTGCGAGGTTTGTTAGCATTGCGTGCCTGTGCTTGCGTCATGTTTGGCTGCGCCAGCTTGAGCTTCAGTTTCGCGTGCGACTCCAGTGTGGTTTATTTTACGTGTAGACTTCTGGGGAGAGCGTGGTGTCAAAGCGAGAAGGGCCGTGATCATAAAGTCGGCTTCATGAACATTGCTCCCCAATCAGTGCTTGCACTGAATGGATCCCAGCAGGTTTCGACTGAGGACGTAGGCGAATGCACGGCGCCAGTTTCGGTAGGGGCCAGGTTCCTGGGTTCCCGGTTCGCCTCGCCTGATACATCCTCAGAATCTGCCCCGAATACAGAGGACATTGGGCATGCAAACAGGCAAACCGTTCGGGACATCCCCGCAATCTGGGCGCGAATGCTGGAGTGTCCCTATTCCCAGCGCCCCCCCACAGGAGTGCTGAAACCAGCGCCTCCTCTGAGACGTCCACAGAGTCTGCTCCGAAGGCAGAAGATGTTACTGTCCGAAACAGGACCACCCTTGAGACACCCCCACAATCTGGGCGCGAATCCTGGAGTGTCCCCACCCTTGACGCCCCCCCTAAGGAGTGCCGAGACCTGCGCCTGAGACATCCTCAGAATCTGCTCCGAAAGCAGAGTGTGCTGGGCACGCAAACTGGCAACCCTCTTGAGACATCGTCATAAGCTGGGCGCGAGTATTGCAGTGCCCCCACCCTTGGCGGCCCCCACTAGGAGCGCTGAAACCAGCGCCTCGCCTGATACATCCTCAAAATCTGCCCCGAACGCAGAGGACGTTGGGCATGCAAACAGGCAAACCGTTTGGTACATCCCCCCAATCTGGGCGCGAATGCTGGCGTGTTCCTACCCTCAGCGCCCCCCCACAGGAGTGCTGAAAGCAGCGCCTCGTCGGAGACATCCTCAGGATCTGCTCCGAAAGAAGAGGGTGCTGGGCACGCAAACCGGCAACACCCGTGAGACACCCCCACAATCTTGGCGCGAATTTTGGAGCGCCCCCACCCCTCGCGCCCCCTCTATGGGGTCCCAAATGCTACGTCTGCTATGTAGCGATGAGCATCGGATCACTATTTAGTGTGGGTGAGTCTGAGTCTCAGTATGAGAGGAGTACGAGTGTGAATCAGCTTGAGTGTGAGTGAGTCCGAGAGTAAGTGAATCAATGAGCGAGTCTGAGCGTGAGTGAGTCTGTGTATACCGATCCTGGCTATGAATGGGTCAGAGTGTGAGTGAGTCTGACTGACTGAGTGTGAGTGTGAGCGAGTCTTCGTATTTTTGGGTCTGAATGTGAGTGAGTCTGAGTGCGAGTGAATGTGAGCATGACTGCGTGTGAGTGAGTCTGAGTGTGAGTGAGTCGCTCTAGCTGAGGACGAAGAGGAAGTGGAGGTGAGGAGAAGGGGGGCTTGTTCCCGGAGCCGTCTGAGTAATAGCAAGGACCCTCTCTCAGGATATGGCGAATATGAAGAAACGAACAGCAGACAAAAAAACATCTGGTGTGCGCCGGTTGGGCACCCTTGAGGCCTTCATGTGGTATCTACAGTTACGCCTTACGCGCGCGTCGGATGAAAGCGGGAGGCTTGCACGTGCGTAGCACTTCCAGCCCATGCTTGTGCGCATGCTGTGACGTCGTTTAGGCTTCCTTTGTCGGTACAGCGTCGGTCCTCAGTGGAAACGACAGAGCAGTTTTTTTACCGGTTCCGTTTTGCCGTTTTGTTGCCGGTTCCGACGCCGTTTCTTTACCGGTTCCGTCGCCGTTGTTTGACCGGTTCCGGCTCCGGTTCCAATCCTGGAGCCGTTTTCTTGCCGTTTCCGGTCGCCGTTTTTTGCCGTTTCCATTTTCAAAGGGCATTTTTCTGGAAACGGTGCAGAAAACGGCCCTGCCGTTTCGGGGGCCCACGGAGCGCTGGTCCAGTTGTGTGCTTGTTCTTGGAGGAGGCACCTTCTCCCATCCTCCGTCCTCTCCCATCCTCCGTCCCGCCTCCCCCCGTACCTCAGGAGGGGAAAAGAACACACAGACACAATCAATCGGCGATCCCCCAGAAAATATGGGAAAATATGGGAATTGGGCGGGAAGACAAGAACCCAGAACATACAGGGAAACATGGGCACTCTTTTCATTTGTGTGTATTTACTTTGTGTGTCCCGGGGCCTCCCCAGTACCCCTTTGCCCTGTCCTTATCCCATCCTCCATCCCGCCTCCCCCGCTCTGAGGGGGTCACACGCGAACCCTACCCCTACGCGCACATCGCGCGCGGCCGTCAATCCGGGCCCGCCCATCCTGACTGTAAAAAATAAATGCAAAGGCTCCATGTTTTCCTCTCAGCATGGCCTGCCTTGTCGCCGACGGTGCGAAATATGTGGCAGGAATGGGACGCGGCGCGCATCGCGCGCGGACGTCCATGCGGGCTGCGGCCCTCCCATCCTGACTGTAAAAAACAATACAGCGTTGCCGTTTTTCCTTTCATCATGGCCTGTCTTGTCGTCGACGATGCGAAATGCGTGGCAGGAATGGGGCGCGGCGCACATCGCGCGCGGACTTCTGGGGCAACCCCAAGGCGGGAGTGGCCACCTTACTTGTCAGAAACAATGCCATGCTGATTTTCCCTGCCCACATAGCTGTTCTTGTCGTCCACCCCGCAAAAGTGCATGGCAAGAATTGGGCGCGGCACACCCCCCTCCCCCCCCGCTCGAAGTGAATGAAATGACCTTCTCGCTTGGGCGCCGAGCGAAATTTTCTCAAAGTTGCGCTCCCGCTTTGGCTCGGCGCACGCTTTTAGCTCGCCAATTCATTGGGCGCCGGGGCGTTCCAGGAGGCCCTGGGGTGACGAATGCCTGGGAGGTTTTTGCTTGTTCAGGCTCTTGGAGGGCCTCCTGAGTCTCCCCGCGGCTTCTTGGCGCTACGGCCGTCTGGAGGCCATCTTGGGCGTCTTGGAACGATCTTTCGGCGACTCAGGGCTACTACTACTACTACTACTACTACTACTACTACTACTACTACTACTACTACTACTACTACTACTACTACTACTACTACTACTACTACTACTACTACTACTACTACTACTACTACTACTACTACAACGGCTACTCACTGCCCACTAACTACTACTCACTAACGACTAACTACTACGACCAAACTTACGACTACTACTACTACTACTACTATACTACGACTACTACTATCTACTACTACTACTACTACTAGTACTTATTACTACTACTACACTACTCCTACTACTATACTACTACTACTACTACTACTATTACTAAGTACTACTACTACTACTACTACTACTACTACGACACTACTACTACTACACTACTACTAACTACTACTACTACTACTACTACTACTACTACTACTTAACTACTAGTACTACCTACTCACTACTACTACTACTCTACTACTACTACTACTACTACTACTACTACGACACTGCGACTACGACTACGACTACGCTACGACTACGACTACGACTACTACTACTACTACTACTAGTACTACTACTACTACTACTACTACTACTACTACTACTACTACTACTACTACTACTACTATTATTATTACTACTACTACTACTACTACTACTACTACTACTACTACTACTACTGCTACTACTGCTACTACTGCTACTACTGCTACTACCACTACGCGCCAGCACCCAGTTGCGCCAGCATTGTTTCTGATGTTGTGGGAGGGCGGAACGTGTCCGTTGTTCTTTTCAACATGGCCAGTCTTGTCGTCGACGATGCGAGATGCGTGGCGGGAATGGGACGCGGCGCGCATCCCGCGCGGACGTTAATGCGGTGTCCTGGGGTATCCTCCACTCGCACTGCAATGCCCGCGCAGCCCCCAGTTGTGCCATCACTGTTTCTTATGTTGTGGGAGGGCGGGTTGGTGGGCATGCTGCTTGACTCGCTCGGCGCTCGACTGGCTAGCTTGACCCGAACCCTACCCCCTACCCCCCCACGATTTCTGAGGGGGAGGGTGGGTTCACTTCGCTCGGGCGCTCCCGAATGCAGTGAACCCCACCCTCCCCCTCAGAAGTCGTGGGGGGCAGGGGTAGGGTTCGCGTCACAGCTAGGGGGGCCTCGAGCGAGTCCAAGCATGACATTCCCATGTCCCACCCTCCCTCCCACAACATAAGAAACAGTGGTGGAACAACTGGGGGCTGCGCGGGCATTTCAGTGCGAGTGGGGGATACCCGAGGACACCGCATTGACGTCCGCCTCGGGATGTGCGCCGCGTCCCACTCCCGCCACGCATTTCGCTTCGCCGACGACAAGACTGGCCATGTTGAAAGGAACGACGGACACGTTCCGCCCTCCCACAACATAAGAAACAATGTTGGCGCAACCGGGTGCTGGTAGTGGTAGTGGTAGTGGTAGTGGTAGTGGTAGTGGTAGTGGTAGTGGTAGTGGTAGTGGTAGTGGTAGTGGTAGTGGTAGTGGTGGTAGTAGTAGTAGTAGTAGTAGTAGTAGTATAGGAGTAGTATTATAGTACTGGTAGTGGTAGTGGTATTAGTAGTAGTAGTAGTCGTCGTCGTCCGTCGTCGTCGTAGTAGTAGTAGTAGTAAGTAGTGGTAGGACCAGAGGCTGTAGTAAATGTAGTTAGTAAGTAAGTGTGTGTGGAGTGTAAGTAGTATAGTCGTAGTAGTATAGTAGTAGTAGTAAGTAGTTAGTAGTAGTAGTAGTAAAGTAGTGGTAGAGTAGTAGTGGGTGCGGGGTGGTGGTGGTTGGTAGTAGTAGTAGTAGTAGTTAGTAGTAGTAGTAGTAGTAGAGTGGTGGTGGTGGTGGTGGTGGTGGTGCTAGTAGTAGTAGTAATAGTAGTAGTAGTAGTAGTAGTAGTAGTAGTAGTAGTCGTAGTAGTCTCTCTAGTAGTAGTCGTAGTAGTGGTCGTAGTAGTAGTAGTAGTAGTAGCAGCAGTAGTAGTAGTAGTAGTAGTAGTAGTAGTAGTAGCGGTGTTGGTGGTGGTAATCGTAGTAGTAGTAGTAGTAGTAGTAGTAGTAGTAGTAGTAGTAGCAGTAGTAGTAGTATTTGTAGTAGTAGTAGTAGTAGTAGTAGTAGGAGTAGGAGTAGGAGTAGGAGTAGTAGTAGTAGTAGTAGTAGTAGTAGTAGTAGTGGTAGTGGTAGTGGTAGTAGTAGTAGTAGTTGTTGTTGTTGTTGTAGCAGTTGTAGTAGTAGTACTACTAGTGGTAGTGGTAGTGGTAGTGGTACTCTGAATTGTTTTTTTTACAGTCAGGATGGGAGGGCCCGCAGCCGGCATGGACGTCCGCGCGCGATGTGCGCCGCGCCCCATTGCTGCCACATATTTCGCACCGTCGGCAACAAGGCAAGCCATGCTGAGTGGAAAAATGATGACTTTGTATTGATGTTTTAGAGTCAGGATGGGCGGGCCCAGATTGACGGCCGCGCGCGATGTGCGCCGCAACCCATATGTGCGCCGCGTCCCATTGCTGCCACGTCTTTCGCACCGTCGGCGACAAGGCAGGCCATGCTGAGAGGAAAAAACGAAGACTTTGTTTTGATTTCTTGCAGTCAGGATGGGCGGGCCCAGATTGACTGCCGCGCGCGATGTGCGCCGCGTCCCATTCCTGCCGCGCTTTTCGCATCGTCGACGACAAGAAAGACGATGTTGAGAAGAAAAACTGCCACTTTGTATTGTCTTTTTACAGTCCGGATGGGAGGTCCCGGATTGGGTCGCTATCGGCCGGAATACGCGGTAGGTGGGGGTATAGAGTAATAAGGAACAAGGATGTGGCCCCCTAGCTCTCCCCCGCTTGCCCCCCTTCGCAGGGTCGGCGACCAGGTCCAGAAGTGGGACATCCGCGAGATAGACTCGAGGCGGGCCACGCCGCTCTCTCTCTCTCGCCCCAGGTGCGGACCGCCGCTCGCTCGTTGTCGGGGGCGGCAGAGAGGGGGGTGATGACTACAGCCGGGGCCCCGAAGAAGGAACCCTTTCCGTTGGGAAGGGGCTCCGTGTTCCTTAATTGTTTCACAGTTTCCCTCGCTTTTTCTTTAGGTCTTCGAAGGGAAATCGAAGTTTAACTTATGGAAAAAAAGGGGCCTCGTTCCTTATTTGGGGTTCCTCAGGTCAACGCCCCGACTGTAGGGGGGGTGGATATCATGGCGGGGGCCATGATATTTCCCCAGATCTCGTGGCGCCTCTTCTTGTTTCATTGCGTCCCTGGCACCCCCGCTGGGCCGCGCACGTGCCGCCGGTCATGATTTGCACCCCCCCCCCTCTTGGACACCCCCCTCTCGGCCGCTCCCGATCGTTGGAGGCACGTGCGCAAGTGCTGGAACTCCCCCGCGGGGGCGCCTTGAGACAGTCGCGCTTCGCGCGTCAGAGTCTGGGCCGCAGCGGCTGCCCTTCTCCAGGGGGGCAGGTGCGAGGGCGCGGGAATAGAGTCAACAACCCTAATAAGGACGCGCGACTTTGCTCAGGGTACCCTTGCGTCCTTGCTCTTCCTTGCTCTTGCGTCCTTGAGGTTTTCGTCGTCCGCCGCCCCAAACATCCCAACTTCGGTTTCCAAGGGTCTTGCGTCCTTATCGCGCGTCCTTATTCCCCACATTCTAAGTGGGGTTCTGATTTTCTCTACACCCGCGTCGCACCCGCGTTCACTCACCTCCCCTTCTCTACACCCGCGTCACACCTGCGTTCCCACCTCACCTCCTCCTTCTCGCTCGTACACACACCACACCACACCACGCCACATCGCACCACACCACACCACGCCACACCACACACCACCACACCACACCACACCACACCACACCACACCACACCACACCACACCACACCACACCACACCACACCACACCACACCACACCACACCACACCACACTACACAACACCATCCGTGTGTGGCACTTTCTCGTCACTACAGGACGTGTGCAGGGAGTGATCCCTCACCGCGGTCTCTATCCGCCCCAGGGTCGCAGGGCGTGGCAGGCGTGGCTTTTTCTCGACACCATAGGGGGTGCGCAGGGGGTGGTCTCTCACCGCGGCCGCTATCCGTGCCGGTCGTCCAGGGCACAGCAGGCATGGCATATTCTCGACACCGTAGGGGGTGCGCAGGGGGTGGTCTCTCACCGCGGCCGCTATCCGTGCCGGTCGTCCAGGGCACAGCAGGCATGGCATATTCTCGACACCATAGGGGGTGGGCCGGGCGTGGTCTCTCACCGCGGCCGCTATCCGTGCCGTTCGTCCAGGGCACAGCAGGCATGGCATATTCTCGACACCAGAGGGGGTGCGCAGGGGGTGGTCTCTCACCGCGGCCGCTATCCGTGCCGGTCGTCCAGGGCACAGCAGGCATGGCATATTCTCGACACCATAGGGGGTGCGCATGGGGTGGTCTCTCACCGCGGCCGCTATCCGTGCCGGTCGTCCAGGGCACAGCA